GATACTCTTTTTTGGCGCGTCGTGTTGGTTATATTTACAGGCGTGTGGAAAGTTTCTCGAAATTTCAGTTTTTACATAACAATACTGATACTAACACTAGCGTATACATACACACATATATTGTTCATCCTTACCCTCGAGAATCTTCTACAACATCAGAGAATAGGCGGGAGTTTTGCAATACATACTTAACAGTATGCGTTATGTACATTTCTAAATATAATTTAATTAAAGCAAACATCGATATTAAAATAAATATAGAATAATAAATCCGTCACAGTTACTTCATTCAAATAAGAACAAAGCCTTTGTTTTCTCCCGTTTGTATTACGAGTGCGAGTGATATATATTTATTCATATTTAAAACACTGATGAACATAAAAAAATTAAGATAGATATATGAATGGCATTATCCACATTTATTTTTCTAAAGTTTTAACAACAATAATCTTAAAATATTAAAATCCATAAACGAACATTGTTTTATAATACACAATTAAAATCTTTATTTAAACAAATCAACAGTTACTAAAAGTCACTACACGTGATTCAACGTGGTTTCATATTATCTTCAGGGATCCTTGGAGAATTGAAAATAGGCGTTAGACAATTTTTAACTAAATTATTATATGTATATATGGACAACAATAAATTAAATATTATACATTATTCAAAGAATTATACCACTTGAATGATCATGACGGAATATAACACAGTCAATACAAATAACATTATAATCTTTCTTTTTCATTCATTCTTTCTTTCTCTTTTTTTTCTTGTTCTTTATTCTTTTCTTTTTTTTTTGAGTGGATGTTCCATAGTGAGTAAAAATGCTAAAACCATGTCACCAGGATGGAACTTGTGCTCTTCAACCTTGCGGTCATAAATATTTTTCATTTTAACTTGGTCTGACTTCAAATTTTCTCGAGCCAATTCACAAGCACGTAAGAGTTTGGACCGAAACTTGGAAACGTAATCCAATAAGTGCATTTCTTTCGGATTATCTTCAAACCATTGTTTCTTCAGCAACTTCAAAGGACCACGCACTGAATGGCCAAATACCAGCTCAAACGGGCTAAACCCTAACGACTGCTGAACTGACTCATGAACAACAATCCTTGTTATCGAGACAGTAAGTCCACATCATATATTTCAAGGTAGAACGGAATCTCTCAAGAGCACCTTGCTATTCTGGATGATACACACTAGATTTGATCTGTTTAGCATCGAGCTGATAAACAACTTGTTGAAACAATCCTGACATAAAATTTGATCCCAAATCAGACTGAATTTCTTTCGGCAAGTCAACAAAAGTTAAAAAAAAATTATCAATGCCTTAGAAATGTTTTAGGCTGAATTGTTTCACGAAGGGATAGCTCAAGGGAATCGAATGGATGCGAACATGATAGACAACAAATATTGATTCCCTGATCGAGTTTTTGGTAAAGGTTCAACTCAATCAACAATCACACCACTGAAGGGTTCTTCGAAAGTTGGGAAAGGTTGCAAAGAAGCAACAGGAATTTTCTGGTTAAGTTTTCCGACCAATTGACAGGTATGACAAGTTTTACAAAACTGAGAAGCGTCTTGCCTAACTTTTGGCCAAAAAAAAAGTCTCATAATTTTGTCACATGTCTTTTTGACGCCTACATGACTTCCCATGGTGAATTCATGGGTAATTTTCAATATTTCAGAACGATATGCTTTGGGAACAACGATTTGGTAAACTACAGCCCAGTCTTCTGAAGTTGGCGCATCTGATGGTCTCCATAAATTGAATTATGTTATAAATTTTAAATTAGAACGAATTTTGTCTCTGAAATAGAGTTAAATGATACTTTAAATTTAGTCATTAAATAAAACCAGATATATAGTCAGTTTATGAAATTTGCCAACAGGATTGATACACTTTGTTTTATACAAATATGTTTTAATATACAAGCAATAATAAAATTTACAATAACAGTTATTACATATAGTTATTACAAACAATGATTTATATTTAAAAGTTTTACAAACTTACAAGCAATATAATGTCTTCTTTTTAGTCTGGAACTTCCTTGATATGGTATCAAGGGTTCATGATGAGCGAGTTAATTTCGAGTTGACGTAGGTACAATTCATTTAATAGGGAGCTAGTTAGCTCTGTAGTTCTTGCTGAAGTTATATAATATCTTCGTAAAAGTACCAATGTCCGATTGAATCCAATGACGTTAAATGGTTTATAATTTTATAAATTTATAAATGTTCCTGGTCAAATATCTTAAGTTTTCCAACTAATATGCGTTAATCACAATTATAGCGCCCGAGGTTTATAAAATACCAACTACATCAAACCAATAATATACACTATTTTTTGGCGCGTCGCGTTGGTTATACTTATAGGCGTGTGGAGAGTTTCTCGACATTTCAGTTTTTCAGTAACAATACTGACGCTAACACTAGCCATATATTGTTGATTCTTACACTCGAGAATCTTCTACAACTTTAGAGAATAGACGGGAGTTTCGCAATACATATTTAACAGTACAGGTTATGTACATTTCTAAATATAAATTTAATTTAAGCAAGCATCGATATTAAAATAAATATAGAAAAATAAATCCGTCACAGTTATTTCATTCAAAAAATAACAAAGCCTTTGTTTTCTCCCTTTTGTGTTACGAGTGCGAGTGATATATATTTATTCACATTGGCTTTAAAACAGTGATGAACATAAAACAATTAATATAAATATATGAATGGCATTATCCACATTTATTTTTCTAAAGTTTTAACAACAATACTCTTAAAATATTAAAATCCACAAACGAACATCCTTTTATAATACACAGTTAAAATATTTATTTAAACGAATAAACTGTTATAAAAGTCACTGTATGTAATTCAACGTGGTTTCATATTATCTATTTTGGGCTATATAAGTACAAAACCATGGTCATGTAACTACTAGTTTGCGATTAAAAAAGGAAAATTGCGCCATCTACATACTTTTTCATTTTCTAAACCTTCTTCCTTATTTAAGATCAAGTTCTGTTTTACTGTGTTTCACTGCTTCATAGCAGTCATATTATTCGGTTAAGCCAAATTAACTGTTTTTTCTCACTGGATGATATGACCAGTATAATTTACATGTAAACAAACATAAGCTGACATTTTTTGCGAACTGGGTGACGTGGTTCTTGGTGTGGCGGCACGATAACACCTTACCGTTTTTGGACGTACTTGTTAAGATAAACAAAAATAAATTAAAGACTGCAGTCTATCGTAAACTTTTTCTGTTTACTTTTCTGTTTACAGGTCTTTAAAACTATGTCCTAATTCAGCAGATCTTACTTATTAAACATGTAGCATGAGATAGAGGTTTGTTGCCTCTTGTTGTAGATAGAGCCGTGAGGAAATTTAACAAAATATATGTGGAATAAAAAGTAAACTAAAATCAACATATCATGAAATAGATAAAAAAGAAATGTTTTTACCAGGTTTATCATATCAAATTTTTCATAAATTCAGAAAACAAAACAAAAATATTGTCGCCATTTACACACCATTGAAAAAAATTAGTCAAATATCAAATAAACCAAAAGTTGAAATAAATATAGCACAAAGTAATTGCTTTTCGCACTTCTGAAAGGCCCGTCATGGCCAGGTGGTTAGGGCGTTTGACTCGCACTCTGAGGGTCGCAGTTCGAATCCCCGTCCCACCAAACATTCTCGCCTTTTCAGCCCTGGGGACGTTATTATGTGACAGTTAATCTCACTATTCATAGGTAAAAGAGTAGCCCAAGAGTTGGCGGTGGGTTGTGATGACTAGCTGCCTTCCCTCAGTCTTTCTCTAGTAAATGAGGGACGGCTAGCGCAGATAACCCTCGTGTAGCTTTACGCGAAATTCAAACCACTCTTGAAAATAATGTGAAACTACTTTGAAACATGTAGATTGACTTTTACAACCGTTGATCGGTTTAAATATAGATTTTAATAAACGTTGTTTTTTATGGATTTTAATATTTTAAATAAATACACAAGATCCTTGAATTTTAACCTTTTAATATTAACAATACCCTTGCTTAAAAGAAATCAGAATAATTCTGCAGGTGTTTGTTGTTGTAAATTTGTAATTTAATGTTCTCAATCTAGAATAGTATAAACAGTTAAACGCTATGCAAAAACATAACGTGCTCCTGAAAGCTGAAATTTGTAAGAATTAAACTTAACAAAATTTGTATTTACTTTTTACTAGACATATACATTATAATCTATACATTGTTTCATATATTCTAAACATAAAGTATTAATTTAATGACTGCATAATGTTAAAATAGTTTTTCTTTTGGAGAGAAAGTTTAAAAAGTATATAGATAAACTCACAAAACGAATGTACGTACTTTTTTTCTGGAATATTCCCCTGTTTTTATTCCGTGTCTTTCAAAGAAATTTTGTGAAAAGCTCAAAGGAGCGAACCTGTTATTATAACATAATATATTTCAATATAATGTTTACATTAGTAAGGTGTCCTAAGCGCTAGTTATTAACGAAACAAAACCGCTCGGACGTGTGATAGTAAAATACTTAAACCGTTATTGTATTCAGGGTTTAATTCCAGACTTTATGAGAATATTCTAACAAGTGAATTGATTAACCTCACGTTGTATCACAGAAAACACTCTTCTTTCTCAGATCAAGGACAGAAAGAACACAAATATTTTAATTAAGTTGTTTACTCAATTTGCAAGTTGATATATTTTTAAACTTTAATTGTGATAAAGATTAGCCTGGAAATACATATTGCTTATAAATGATGAAACAAAATTTACATAGTAGCACGAATGTATATCACTGGTCTCGTATAAGATACATTAAAAGTCACATTTTATGATACTACTTCAATATATTCATATCAAATTTCCAAAACCCAAAATAGCGTATTCGTAAAGGTAATGCACATAACCATTTAAACGAGAAATATAAATACAAAGTTGTAAAAACTGTAAGAAGCTTACCTACTACTGCGCTTCGTACTTGATGGAGAAGTATAGCCTTGATTAAATAAACCAGGTAGAATTCATACACAACAAGTTTGCTTTTTAATAAGTTCATTTTAACAGGCATGTCCATTGATATATTTATAAACAATGACGAAAGGTTACTGCATATGTTGTTTTTCCCTTATATTATTTGTAGAGATAAGTTGATACCTCTACCAATAAAACAAAAGTCGAAAATAAATGTTAACAAATATTTTATACCAAGTAAATGGTTTGTAAGTCATATTGAAACTCCAAATACTTTTCAGATGTCAAACTTCTTTTGAAAGCAAGAAGGGCATGCGTATTGATTTACGTAAGAGAGTGAAACGCAATATCACTACGTTGTGCTAGGTTTTAACTTTTCTCTATAAGTGGGAGCACATACTACCAACTATTCTTTGCAAAAGAAAGTGCTATACTGCTGTGTGTGAAATTATCTGCGTGCTGGGCATCGGGCACTGAAACACAAACCATTGATTTTGAAGTTCAGCGCCATCTATATAGTCATGTCATTGTTAGTCGCGGTTCCAGAGATGAGCTGATTGATCGTGATATGTATGAGGAATAAATATAAATATTTAGGGTTAAACGTACAATTCTTTTGTACAAGAATATTCAGGATCTTTACTGACGTTGCAGGTACGCAAACAGACAGAAATGGAACGCCAAGTAGACTGAGAGGTTGGCTGGCTAACATTAATAAGGTGAAAAACAAAACGATACTAGAGATTATTCAGGAGCTAAAATTGTGTTTTTTAGAATATATTAAATAGTACAGTTAAAAGTGTAGTATTGTGAGTTAATTAGAAGGTTTTGCCATGTTTGTGTAGAGCTCAGCTTCTATTTCTTGGTTATTTTAATATATTATTGTTTCTGACAAGACAAATCTTTTTTTGGCCACAAACTGTAAAAGATACAACAGAAATAAAAATGTTGTCATTAAATCGTTGATCCTCCGAAATGAATAAAGAAGTATAAACAGTTGTGAAAGTAAAAAATCTGGTCACCACTTACTTGAACCTATATTGACAGACAAACATATCTTAAGTAAAGCACAAATGAAAAATCAGTAACAGTTTTTGTCTATTCATGTATATTTAATAAATACCATTGTGTTTCCAATGTGTTTTTAAGTGTTAAAGTTTTATTCACAAATACCTTTTAATTCCTTGTGAAATAGACAAACAATTCAAAAAAGGTAATTTAAAAAAATATTTTACTATTAAATGAACTGTTAATCCTTAGAAAACTGTTATGAATTTCACAAGGTTTGAAACTAAATAACATACATCTAAATAGGAAATTTCAATTTGTTATTTTCGAATCATGATCATTCAATGTGAAAATTACCTTCTCACAGTTATAAGAGCTATACGCAAAAAGTAATGAGCTTTGATATATCGCTCAGCAATTTAGCAAGTAAATTTGGTTATCAAGGATATGTTTTTGAGAAATACCTAGCATTATAGCAATGTGTGGTATTTGAGATTATGAACGTTTCCATATCTATGACTCAAAAACATTGTTAAACAGTGTTTTCAAGCTTATACAATAACTAAACTTCCAGTTGGTGCATAAATCATACATTTCTTACAAGCACTGGGATGACTATTATCTCATGAATAGAATGAAACCTGCTATATTATATCACTCTAACTAAAGTGACTTCCTTCTCTAATATACAGCTTGTGGTAACTGAGGATATTTACCCTTCAAGGGCTTTTAATATATACATGGAACATACACTAGATAAATGCCTCTGTGGCTTGACTTGAACTAGCCTAGCGGAACAGTTAAATATTTCAAGGATATTATGAGGGATATTTAAAATATGAAGTCACAATCATGGTTTATATTTTTATTTCTTTTACTATAAACTTGGTCCAAGTCAGAAATGTACTTTCAGAAGCTACATATATTAATATTGAAATATGTAGTAACCTGTATTAGCCAGTTTAAGTATTTTGAAGTAATAAAGGGTACTTTCAGGAGATTAGAAAAACGTTTCATTAATAAAACCATGGTTAAAGTGTACATTCAGTTTAAAAGCAAATTTAGAAAATATCTTAAGTGATTTTCTTCTACTTTTCATAATATCTAATCTCATTTTCACTTACTATAAAATGATATCAATATTATACATACATCATAAATAATGTTTTCGAGCTCTCTAAAAGCATGTTTCATTGTGTCTTGTATGTAAGTTTTTATGGTGAACGAATCCGTTCTTAACTACTCTATTAATGATATCAATATTATACATACATCATAAATAATGTTTTCGAGCTCTCTAAAAGCATGTTTCATTGTGTCTTGTATGTAAGTTTTTATGGTGAACGAATCCGTTCTTAACTACTTTATTTCGATCCATGAGAATAAAGTTTCGGAGTATCGCTTAAAGTGTGAAATGGAATTAATTTATTAATGAAAACACACTTAAGATCACAGGCAGGAAACAAGTCTGATGCGGTACAGAAGAAACCAAAAACTGAAAAAGTAGGCACGAAATTCGAGAAAGAAATGGAATATATATACTTCGTTCAGACCACGTTCTGCATGTATACCTAATCCTTGTCCTTTCTGGCAAAAACAAGGTGTTCAAAGGAGACGTGAAGCGTGGTAATTGTTCCTTCTTTGTAAAGAACCGCTAAGATACGCTGTTCCGGAAATGGTCCATGATTAAAACAAAACCCTCAGCAAGAGATCATCGAGTCGTAAATGATAAATTCCGGAATACACTACAAGCTATAAAATGTCAGCTAAAACATTTTGAATAACAAACGAGCGTGAGCTCTTCGCAGAAAATGTAACAAAAAGATTGGTTTTATTTTTATAGAGAAAACACTGATAATGTGAGGTAAATTCTTAAAAGTACAATAAGATCTCAGTTTTAAATGCAGCATTACCTGAACTTACGTTTCTTGTAACATTTTCGTGTTTTCTGGTATTATTATATAATAATTACATGTTTTTGTTAGTTTTGCTAAGTAAACTAGTAATATAAAATAATATAATCGCAGGTAGTATTTACATGATAATTTTGATACAATTCCTGTAGTAGCCATTAGTAATTGGTGAACTTCAAATAGTCACTTTACTGATGCACATAATTCTTAGTGTGCTAATTTAATAGTTCTTGTATAGACAGGTTATAATTGTTAATATGTTGAAATAAGTTCAATATCATAAACTTCTGAAAGAAAAGATAAAATAAGTTCAGGATTTAATACATAAATAAGTGAATACAAAAGAAGTCATGGCTAAAAAAAATGAAATATGCTATAAAATTCTGTGGATGTCTGAATTTGAAAAACTCAAAAAACGATAACCATAAGTAAATCTTGCTCGTCAGGCGAATAATATGTATAACAAATGAAAGCGTCTCGGCCATTTTTTTTTCTTCTTTCATTGTCCGAGCGTGACCCAATGATTAGGGTGCCGGAATATAGATCAATGCTTATGACGTTCGCGTCCCGTTAATCAAAAAAATAGAAAGAAAGAAATCGCGCTCTGGCCGTGGATGCGTTATAACGTTGAAGGCCAGATCCCACTGTTCGGTAAGACAATGTTATCCCAAGAGTTGAATGTAGGTACTAGTGACTAGCTGATTTTCCTTTAGTCTATCAGTTCAAAATTAGGGACAGTTAGTATTTTAGTAAACACACGAAAACAATGAAATAAACAAGTCTTCTCTTACGTTTGTGTAGGTGGTTAGATAGGCAAAAAATTTATAAAGAGTAGATGATTCCACCATGGACGAACCTCCTACATCGAGATCTTGAATGCGTTGTGCTTTTTTCTATATTTTGCTTTTCTCCGTATTAATGAGTTTATTGTTTTGCCCAATACGTTGAATATATATATACATAATTTGTTTACAGTAAAGATGAAATGTCACCCCAATACTTATGGTTTTGTATTCATATAAACCTTTTTGAATTATCAGTACGATATATACGTTTATTTAAACGATTTTTATAGCTAATTTCCTAGCCTAAATATAGATTTGAATTTTTTTGCTGAATCATTAATAGACAGTTTTTATTATCAGGTAACTTTAAAAAAATCGCTACCTTTCTACAGTTTTATGAGTTATTTCCTCTGTGATGTATACGATATTGCTGAAACTAAACAAATACAGAAATAGTCACGGTAGAAGTAACTCCCATTTACACAAATCTGCGAATAAAAAGAAAACAAAATAAAAATTGTATTGTATTTCCTATTGCTGTAACTAGGTCGTTTGAGTTATTGATAATGCTTACTCACTAAGATTTAGATGAAGACGAACCAATGAGCTCAGCTAGTAGAACACTCTCGTAAAACTACACAAAAGGGTAGCTGCGTATAGCTGCCTAATTGAAAATAACAGATTAAAGATACGGCAACTATTCAAAAGCACCTATCACCAAAACTTATAGTTTGATCGAATATTGAGGCTTGTCCGTCATTCTTAAGCACCCATCACCAAAACTTATAGTTTGATCGAATATTGAGGCTTGTTCGTCATTCTTAAGCACCCATAACCAAAACTTATAGTTTGATCGAATATTGAGGCTTGTCCGTCATTCTTAAGCACCCATAACCAAAACTTATAGTTTGATCGAATATTGAGGCTTGTCCGTCATTCTTAAGCACCCATAACTAAAACTTATAGTTTGATCGAATATTAAGACTTGTCCGTCATTCTTAAGAACCCATAACCAAAACTTATAGTTTGATCGAATATTGAGGCTTGTCCGTCATTCTTAAGCACCCATAAACAAAACTTATAGTTTGATCGGATATTGAGGCTTGTCCGTCATTCTTAAGCACCCATAAACAAAACTTATAGTTTGATCGGATATTGAGGCTTGTCCGTCATTCTTAAGCACCCATAACCAAAACTTATAGTTTGATCGAATATTGAGGCTTGTCCGTCATTCTTAAGTACTCATAACCGAAACTTATAGTTTGATCGAATATTGAGGCTTGTCCGTCATTCTTAAGCACCCATAACCAAAACTTATAGTTTGATCGAATATTGAGGCTTGTCCGTCATTCTTAAGCACCCGTCACCAAAACTTATAGTTTGATCGGATATTGAGGCTTGTCCGTCATTCTTATAGCGTATCCATGGCCCAAAGTGCAGAGTGCGTTTTTTAGGTAACGTGTTG